AAAAATCAATGTAGTAGTTACAACTTAAATGCGTTTTCCATTCTACCCTGAGTAACAAAGTCTTTCTACGTCTTCAATCAAGTTTCTGTCAGCAACCTAAGAGCAACCTCTGATGTTTCTTCAACCAAATTGAAAATCTCCTAAACTGCACAGACCTAAGTCAGTCTCTAGGATTGGGCAAAGATAGCTTTTATGGACATGTAAAGTGCATTTCAGAAAATTTCAGAAAATTTCTTCCTTCTATTTTTTTCTCAAAATGTCTGTATATTCCGGGGAGGGGCTATGTTAAAGCCTATCTCAGGACCAGAATTAAGGACAGTCCTTCTTGCTCTTGACAACACAACTATAGCACTCTTTTCTTAGGGAAGTGGATTTGATATTAAATCTCATTTACCTTTTTAGGATTTCTTTTATAACTCCTGCTTTATTTAGATTTTTGACACACATTTTTTAGTATGTTTGATGTTTCTTGCTTCTTTATTAATCTTTGGTTTTACTCACCATAATGGGTTGCTTCTTTGGGAGGTCGGCCTTCAGAAGAAAGGCAGCATCCTTCACGTTATCCTTTGTGAGCTCTTCTGCTATTTCATACAGCAACTGTCTGGGTGACAAGTCTAAACATGTAAGCTATTTTTTTTTATGTAAGATTATAGTAAGATATTCATCCATAGCACTTCGCCTACCATCTCAATTTAAGATCTGAAATTTTGGACAATGAACTTTGATGGCAAATATTTAGAAAAAGAGTCTAAATAAACAAACGATTAAAATGCTTGGAACACATTCAGAAGAGAAATAATGTAGCAATCAACGTTTTTTTAGTGAAAGTTATATTGTTTGGAAAACTCACCTATAACTAGATACCTTTCCTCTGTTAGGCAGTTCTTCTTGAACAATCTCTTTAGTATAACCAAGTTTCTGGAGCAGAAAGTTACACCTAATAATGTAGAGAAGCTCTGCTATGAGAAAAGTATCATCCTTATTAATTAAGTCCTCATTGATGAGAAATTGGAAAATATCCTGGGCTGATTTCACTGTTTCCAGCTTCTTTAATGAGATGAAATCAGAACAGAGAAATTTCAGGTCTTCTACATCTTCCTTCCCTAAGTTTTCATCAATTGATAGTAGCTGCTGGCGAAATACCACATTCTCATTGTCAGCCATGAAGAAATATTTTCTGAGGAGCTAAAATCTCTAAAACAGGAGGAAAAAAAAGTAACGCTAAGCATTTAGAAGTAAGGTAGTGGAAAAAGAAAAAGTCTCCCTGGAAGATAAACACTTATAAATTCTCTCCCAACCAACCAAANCAGCAAATGATCACAGATAAGGAGAACAGATAACCTATGTTACTGCTTTTGTAATGTTTCAACTGTCATGTGTCTGACTAATGAAACACTTCAAAGAACTTTCAGGCATTGTTTAACCTAAAAAGCCTTTATTAGTGTAAAGGAGTGTCAGCACGGCATGGAGAATGCCAAGATCTGAATTTCCCTTCCTTTGCACATAGCATTCCAGACATTTCCCCTCCCCTATTTTGGGGTCATGATTCACATCTTCCAATTAACCTAGAGGGCAAAGTTTCACTTCCGTTCCCGCCCTCATTCTCATCTGAATTAACTCTAAAAGTACCAGTTCTGCATATTTTGTCAAAGCAAGAATATTCAATATTAGCAGCGTTGACATCAACATTACCAAACACTAAAACATTTTTGGTTTTGCTGTGCACACATATACACACTAAAGAAATCAAATATATCAACTGTTCCATGATCAGACTTTTCCTTCTATTTCACTGAAACGTGACATTGGCATCTATTTGGTTAAAAGGTTATTTTCAAAGGTAACCAACACAATACATAAAATCCTAATTCATCTATTTGTTAAAATAGCTAAACATTAAGCAGCACTGTGGATAGGAACGCCAATCCATATTAAGGCAAGAAATCAGATAAAAGAAGGCACAATTAAAAAATTGCCCATAAAACACCTATGAAATATACCCATTGTAAGGAATAAGACTCCTGCTTCTTGATCACCACGTCATTTTAGGCAGTTCCATTTATTTATTCCAGACTTAGTTTGATTTTAATACGATTAGAAATTATCAAATTTAAAGATTAAAATACTTCCAAGGCTACCTCAAAAAATGAATAAAAGTACAAATATTCAAATAATAAATTTCTAAATAAAAGTAGTCTTTAATATGGAACAGTATTAAAAATGTAATCATAAGTCTCAGTAAAATAGTCAAAGTCTTATTTGACCGCCAGTTTGGTGCAGTCTTAAAAGCTCTGGATTGAAAGCCAGGAGACCATGAGTTCTAACCCTGCTAATGCACAAAGCAGGCTGGGTGACTTTGAGGTTAGAGCTTTGCATTCTAATATTCTGTGCCTTGATTTTCCCTCATTCTAAATCTTGAGTGTCTACAAACATATAGAACACGAACTACCTATCCTTCCAAGCATGGGCCTTTATAATATAATTGATGTCTGGAGGATTGTTCAAACAGATAACAAAAATCCCAAGGATAGGGCACGACCAACAAGTTCATTCCTGCATTCTCCCTCCCCAAATTCTCATTATGTGAGAAATAAACCTTTTATACATTATTGTATTGCTAATATTACCATTTTCAACTAAGACTTAAATGGGTTGATGGCAAGATGAAATTATGGATTTTGTCTTGTTTCAAAATCATGAAACCCAAATTTCTGGACTCAGCAACTGTTCAGATACTTACTACTAGCAGCATTCCTGTGCATGTTTACATATTAATAAACCTCACTGAGTTCAGTACAATTTTGGCCCACGTAGCCCCAGAGATTCCTCCAGGTAGGCAGGGAATGCAGAACAGTGAAGACAGCAAACTATGAGAATTAGGCTCTAAAGCTGAATGGCCAGACATAGGAAATCTTACCTTCTAGTTCAGTGATGGCGAACCTTTTAGAGACCGAGTGCCCAAACTGCAACCCAAAACCCACTTATGCATCGTCGAGTGCCGGGTGGGTGTGGCCCATTGGCTGGCTGTGGCCCATTGGGTGGGTGTGGCCAATTGGGTGGGCGTGGCTGCATTGGTAACGGCAGACTGGGTGGGACTAAAAAGTTCAATCAATCAATTCCAACTTTGCAAGATCTTTTTTTTCCCGCGAGAGTTGAAACTGACTGATTGAACCTTTTTTTTTTTTTTGCACATGGCAGCAGAGGCCTAAAATGAAAAGGTTTTATAAAACCCAGCTGAAGGCCTAGGACTGGGGCAACGGCGCGCATGCCCACAGAGATGGCTCTGAGTGCCGCCTCTGGCACCCGTGCCATAGGTTCGCCACCACTGTTCTAGTTTGTACTTTTGAATTTTTTTTGCCAAGTCTCTCCTATGAATAGTCAGGAAGCAATTTTCTATTAAATCCAAATGCATGGGAGATATCAGATCTAGCTTCTCCAGGTCAGTAATAATTGCCAGAAAACTCTAGAAAAATCAGACAGAATGATTGTAAAGGAGAAGCCAAAGCACTCCTGAGAAATGACAGTTATATATTAAACTTTCAGGGAATATAAAAAGATTGGCAGTACAAAGATGAAGTGAGGAAAGCTAAGGCTCAAAATGAACTAAGGCTTGCAACAAAAGTCAAAAATAACAAAAAAAAAAGCTTCTTTCAACATGTAAAAAACAAGAAAAAAGTTAAGGAAATGATTGGTCCATTAGTGGGAGAAAGTGGTAAGAAGGTGACAAGCAACAGGGAGAAAGCAAAACTAAGCTCATTTTTTGCATCCGCATACACATACACAAAGGGAAAAAAAGAGTCCAACCTATCAAAATCAGTACCGTAAAAAACAGATTAGAAACACAAATTAAGATAGGCAAGAAAATGGTAAGTGAGCACCTGTCCACCCTAGAAGAGTTCAAATCACCAGGACTAGATGGACTACACCCCAAGGTTCTGAAGGAACTAGCAGATGTGATCTCAGAACCACTGAACTATATCTTTCAAAGATCCTGGAGCACTGGGGAACTACCAGAGGACTGGAAAAGAGCTGAAGTAGTTCCCATCTTCAAAAAAGGGAAAAAAATGGATCCAGGATACTACAGACCTATCAGCCTGACCTCAATACCTGAGAAGATCTTGGAAAAGATAATCAAGCAATGACTCAGCGAACACCTACAGGCAAACAAAGTCATTACCAACAGCCAACATGGGTTTGTCAAAAACAGATCATGCCAGACAAATCATGCCAGGTGACAAAATTAGTGGACCAGAGGAATGCTGTGGATTTAATTTACTTGGACTTTAGTAATGCATTTGATATAGTAAACCACAACCTACTACTTGATAAGATAGAGAAATGTGGGTTAGACAGCATCACCACCAGATGGATTCGTAGCTGGCTGACCGGCCATACTCAGCATGTGGTTCTCAATGGAACCGCATCTACATGGAGGGAAGTGTATAGTGGGGTACCCCAGGGCTCTGTTCTGGGCCCAGTGCTCTTCAACATCTTCATCAATTATTTGGATGAAGGGATAGATGGGGAACTCATCAAATTTGTAGATGACACCAAGCTGCCAGGAATAGCCAACACTCCAGAAGATAGGCTTAAGATACAGAAGAATCTTGACAGACTTGGGCGCTATCTAACAAAATAAAATTCAATGGTGAAAAAAGTAAGGTTCTACATTTAGGCAAGAAAAACCAAATGCACAGGTATAGTATAGGTGGTACCTTGCTCAATAGTAGCAACTGTGACAGGGATCTCAAAGTCCTAGTGGACAACCATTTAAATATGAGCCAGCAGTGTGCTGCAGCTGCCAAAAAAGCCAAAACAGTGTAGACTGCATTAACAGAGGGATAGGATCATGATCACATTAATACCACTTTATAATGCCTTGGTTATATGCCTCAGGATGCTTATTAATAGACCACATTAGCTATATGATGCCCAACTGGAGGTCAACCTAGGCTTAACTGACATGACTCTTATCAGTCCTACACAGAATGTCCAATGATGAGGTATGCACTTCACTTTGCCCTTTGCCATCCATGGAAAATATTAGTGTGGGTAATATTGAATTAATTGGACCAATATTATAACAGCATACAGCAGCTTCCCATAACAGTACCCTATCAGTTTTCTGTTATGCATCCTTTGTACACCATAAAATATATCCATTGCTGAGCCTCAGTTCATGTATGGATATGAATGAAGGTGTGTATATTTTGGATATCCTACTAAATTCCTACTGACAATTAGTCAGTGACACCCAACCAAAACTATATTAGAAATTAGAATCAATCTAAAAACCCTGAAACAGGAAGGCATTTTTCTTTTAGAAATCCCACACAATTAGAAAAGGGAAGTAATAGAAAAGGTTACAAAAGAAATCCAGACCCAGCAATGCAGATTCATACAGGAAGGGTAAGGAAGAGAATGCCCCAAGGAAACGACCATTATCCCTTTTCAAAAGAGATAAGCCCAGCCTATTTTTAAAAGTACTAAAGAAGAGGGGGGTTTTCTCCAGTCACTCTCTTTCCCCAGCCCAGCCAGATTCTGGGAATCATTTAGTCAGAAGAAACCACAAACGACACCTTGTATAAACAATCTGCAAATGACACCTTGTATAAACAATCAAACTTACCGATCCCACCAGATAGGACAGTGATGGCAAACCTTTTAGAGACCAAGTGCCCAAACTGCAACCCAAAACTCACTTATGTATCGTCGGGTGCCGGGTGGGTGTGGCCCATTGGGTGGGCATGGCTGCAGTGGTAACAGCAGACTGGGTGGAACTAAAAAGTTCAATCAATTCCAACTTTGCAAGATCTTTTTTTTCCCCGCGACAAGTTGAAATTGATTGATTGAACCTTTTTTTTGGGTACACGGCGGCGGAGGCCTAAAGCGAAAAGGTTTTATAAAACCCAGCTGAAGGCCTAGGACTGGGGCGACGGCGCGCATGCCCACAGAGAGGGCTCTGAGTGCCCCCTCTGGCACCCGTGCCATAGGTTCGCCACCACTGAGATAGGAATAATGTAGCACTAAGGAGGGCAACACAAAGCACATATAGAAACCCATTAACATGAATAGAACCATCTCCTGAGGACAAGATTAATCTCTTGCTGCCCGCACAAAACAGGCTAAGGGAAATTAAGGAAACAAATACCTTTACAAAATCCAAATCATAATCTCAATATCTCAAGGGGTATAAAAGCTGGGCCAGTCTCCTTGGAAAATCACTAGCTGGTCCAGAAACCATCGCTGTGTCACTACTCCGTCCGGTTTCTGCAATAAATCTGCTTTCTGGCAGCTTGCTTCATTTTGTGTCAATTCTTCTGTCTGAGCTGAAGATCTGCTTCCCAGCTGGAAACACAAACCACGGGGAAATCTTCCTACACTACTCTACAAATTTTGATAACTCTTCTGACATACTAGTGGCTTATTACCTGAATTTCAGGTTTTTATACTAGGGCAGCTTCCCTATCCTGCAGCCTTCCAGATGACTTGAGACCAACACTCTCATAAAATAATACTAATTCTCACTTATTTGGGATGCTCCAACACATGCAATGGGCTATAACCCAACCTTCTGTATACTCAGTTATAACTGATGAAAATTCTTAAGATGAAAACAGTCCTTGCATTAGTTATGGTGAAATAAAAAGAAGAAGGATACCACAGCAATTTTATATTATCTTTTATATATATATATATTATAAAATAGTTCAAGGATAAGCTAACTTTGGTTTGGGTTTCAATTGCTTACTCACTCCCTTGAACAAACAGTGTAAACAACTGTGATTTCTGATACCCACGGTGATCTCAATGATCAAAGCTGCATGACTGGTATATTTATTTTTTATTTTAAAATATTTATATTAATTAAATTCCTATAGCCGCCGATCATAGTTATAATCTAATACTACATCACTATTTTTCTCCCAAAATCATATGTCAGTTTATGGAAATGGAAGTGATTTTTACAATTCTGATGTTATGCATATCATACAACAGAGCATTTTCAAGAGAAGCAATTCTTAGAAACAGAAACCAACGGAAATAAACTAATATAGAGGGGTATGTTTTTCAAAAGAAACAATGCTCTTCAACTTAGCTCACCTGTATTTTGACAACATCTGAGGGTGCTTGGCCAAACTGGCTTCCACGGCTGCTCTTCCAGTCCCCAGGAACTTCTTTAACAAATCAAATCTTTTCAGCCTGTATAACAGTTCAGATAAGTTGATGGTGGTCAGCTTCTCCTTTTCATTCAAAGCTGTTAAGAGTTGTAGGCCACCAGGTGTAGATACGTCAGACACGAGATCACTGCACAAGAAGACCATGATTTTCTTTTCATCTGTATCCAGTTCCTGTACAAACTGGTATAGGAGGGATGCTGGGACACTGCAAAATATCCTCACAGGCCACTACCCCTTTACAGTACCACATCATGAGGCTTGCTTCTAAATGCAGAATCTGCCTTCCTTGTTGATCTTCAATATCCCGGCTTTGCTTTATGCCTTTTATATATCAAAAGACCATTGACAAGAAGAGAAGACCTAGACAAACCCAAATTATCTTAATCACACACAATGATTAAAGTTCACTGCTGGCACTCATTCTGCCATCTCATCTGCTGCTACATTTGTTCGGGCTAGGAACAGTATGAACTTTTTCAAATGAAGTGATGCTTAGGATGAATCAAAAGGGAATGTCCAGTTTTCAAGAAAGCTCCCACTATCACATAATTTCGAATGGTCCAGAGGAACTGAAACTAAAATTAAATAAAAGGTACTGTCAGGATCCAAGTATATTTCCTTTCTATCTATCTCCTCTAATCTAAAACCAATTATTACTATTTCCTGGGTCGCAAGCCCCAATATAACAGCACACGAGCCACCGATTCTAAACCACTTATGGCGGAGTCACAACTGGCAGTGCCAGTAACTACCAGAGCCCAAGCTAAATTAAAACCACAGCTGGGTAGCCAAACCAGAATTGAATTCCGGAAAACTTTAAAAACAAATGAATGGTTCCAGAAAAATAGACACATGTGACAATCAAGGATGGACTGCCTTGGGTGGGGGAAAAGTTATACAAACCAACCACCCAGAGGGTCACATTCATGCAGCTTTGCCATGACACAAAATCAGCAGGGCATTTTGGATTTGTAAAAACATTACACTTAATTAAAAGGCAATTTTGGTGGCCATCCATGAAAAAGGACATAGAAAGTTATGTGGCCAGCTGCCCAACATGCACAACTGCAAAGAGGTTGCAAGGGAAATTGCCCAGACTATTACAAACAGTGGCAAATCCCTCAGCCCCCTGGAGAGAAATAGCCATGGATTTTATAGTGGAACTACCAGAAAGCAATGGAAACACTGTCATCTGGACGGTTACGGACTTGTTTTTCAAACAGGTGCACTTTATCCCTTGCCAAAAGATCCCCACCGCAAAAGCCTTGGCGAAACTTTTCATGCAGCACATTTACCGATTGCATGGGGCACCCCAACGCTTCATATCTGATAGGGGAGTGCAATTTACATCAGCATTTTGGAAGGAATTTTTATCCCTCTTAGGAACCACTCAGGGACTGTCATCTAGTCATCATCCTCAAGGGAACAGTCAATCAGAACCTTGTAACTCAGTACTTGAGCAATATTTAAGATGCTTTCTTAATTTCCAGCAGTCGAATTGGACGGACCTACACCCTTTCGTAGAAGTTGCCTACAATAATGCAGTCCACTCCAGCACAGGCTACACTCCTTTTCAAATAGCCAACGGTCAAAGTTTCAACCCCATGCCAGAATTAATCCCAAACGAACAAGCAAGCCCATCACTGAAAGAGTGGATAGAACAATTACAAAACATCTGGCCAATAGTTAGAAAAGCCTTAGACGAAGCTAGGCAAGCATACAAAGCACAAGCAGATAAAAAAGAGTTGAACCCACACCATTCATTTTAGGAGAAATGGTATATTTGTCTACAAAATACCTAAAATCCCTACAACCTTATAAAAAAACTTGGACCAAAATATATAGGACCTTTTCCAATTAAAAGAATCATAAACCCAGTAACAGTAGAATTAGAATTACCCAAAAATCTCAGCCAAATATACCCAATCTTTCACTGCAGTTTACTGAAAAGAGAACAACAGTCACCCTTACGGCCAAAAATCCCCCCACCACCACCTCCAATCATGGTGGAAGGAGAACAACACTTCGAAATAAAGGAAATCCTGGACTCTAGGAGATATCATGGGACAACTCAATACCTGGTAGCATGGAAACACCTCCCCTCCTCACAAAACGAGTGGGTTCATAAACGTCATGTCAGACCCCTGAAACTATTAAAGAAGTTTCATACAGAGTATCCTAACAAGCCAGACTAACTTTTATACCTGTTTTGTTTTCTCTACAGGTGCATCTCTCTTATTTTTAAGGGGGGCAGGATGTCAGGATCCAGTTATATTTCCTTTCTATCTATCTCCTCTAATCTAAAACCAATTATTACTATTTCCTGGGTCCTGCCATACTCCCAAGGGGGAGGGGGGACATGCAGAGGGTTTTATTACTTTCATTTCCTCCATTCACTACAAAGTAACCTTTTGTTTATTCGCCTCTACTAACCATTACAATGGAACCATTTGACTCTTATCCTATGTCCGTCTGAACTGCTCTTACAGGGGAACTAAAAAAGGGGGGGGGGTGAAAAGACACAGACCTCTGGAATCTGGTTTATTTCTCCAATGTCAAGATAAACACTGAAGAGCTGGTGAATGATCATGGAGCCGGTTTGATGTTAACACCTAGAGAATTGCCAGCCTCAGTCGGCCAGAAGGAATGTGGGGAGGAGTTTGCTTAGGGACACTTTAAAACATCGATGTATAAGAGAATCCCTCAGATCCTGTCTATTAAGCCTACTATCAATTTTTTTTAATAAAAGTTCCTGTTGGAAGAGACTGTTTTCTTAAGATGTAAATTGAAGTGGTTCCTTACAGGTACAGACTGAAAATGGGAAGTTACAATATGCCACTGATATCCATAAAATGTCTCTTTCACTAAAATTACACTTTCTCTTCAGGAAAATACATGTTTGTTTTTTTTATAAAAGTTTTACTGATTTTTTACAATAACAATCTTAGTGCCTGGTGTACAGCATGTTGTCTTGGTTCATAATTTTTTTGGGAAAAATATACAATCAATAATAGTTAATTAACAGTCAATAATTTTTATATTTCCATAATTTGTATATCAATTAATAATATATTTCCTTGATCCTCTCTTCTCCTTCAACATTAAACAAATATAATATTTGATATTTGATATTTTCCATATATAAATGATTAAGTATAAACATTTTCTTCTATATTTCTACCAACAATAATAGCATCCATATATAGCATTTTTTTTATCATGTTATTTTCATAAAAATCATCTTATTGATTCACCAAGTATCTTATTTTCATAAATCTTGTTTAAGCTGTTTCTCCTTAATATTCAACAATTCTTATCAATCATAATTTTCTCAGTAATTAACATCTAAATATCCAAATTTTCCATTTAAATACATCATCCTAGTATTTTCATATTTCATATATTATAGAAATACTATACTACTTATCTATTATAACATTTCCCTTTAACATCTTTTCTAATCAATTTATATTTTACTTCTATTTGTAAAAATTGATTTGTTAAATCATTATATATCCTTTTTTTCAGAATTCTTAAGCCTAATTTCCCCTCAATATTTCAATCATTCCTTAATCCTAAATCTTTTCAAACTTATTTATCTTTAAAATTGAAACTTTTCATTCACTTACATCATCCCAGTATTTTGTATCTTATCAAAAATACTATATTACTTATATCTCTTATCCCACTATTCTAAAGCCCCTTTACAGTCAAAGTTATTTGTTTATTTAGCCATATTCAAACAAGTGTTTGCTCGTATAATATTCCATCTGTTAGGGCAAGTCAAATCTCTTAAGCCCGTCTCTGGCTTTCTTCCTTTGCCAAATAGTTTTCCAAATTAACATTTTTGACTTGTCAAACAGTTTTTGTATTTTTGTAGTTGTTGTTGGGAGTAGAGGATACATAGTGCGTAAGATGTATGCTTTTTAACTCCCAAACAGTGATTCTCATAGTAGTGTCCATTTTGTTAAGTCTTCTTTCTTCTTAGGTTTATTTTGACATTCTAATGCATAAGATATCTTTTCCATATTTTATTAAATTGTAAGTTTTTTCTTGTTTGCATTAAGTTATAATTCCCTTCATTTGTAGCTTCGCCAATTAAGTCATTTTTTTCTAGTTTACATTCGGTTTTCTGATTTGTTTGTTCATTCTTTACCATCATTCTTTGGATGTTTTTTGATTGTAAATTTAAGTTAGAAGTGTATTCATTTATGTTATCAAAGTTGTGTTTAATTTCCTCGTGGTTTAAAGCTATTGTGATTTGTATCTGTTATAGCTTTGCATAAATTTCCTCTTGGAAAGTATTTGTCTTATCTTGGAATATTGCTTCTAGAGCTCTCTGATCTTTCAGGCTGAGTCCTTCAGGAGAAGATATTAAGTGTGGTTTTCTATCATTTTTTGATGAATATGTCATATCCATGTTGTCTCCCCCTTTCAATTGTCAACCAGTCAGAATTGCAGTTCAATATATTTAGCCACCTTAAATCCTTTCTGTAACTTCCCCTGTCAAAGATTAGTCATAGATCAAAGTTTTTCTTTTTCTGTAAACAATTCATAAATTTAGATCACAATCAAAGTATTTCTTTTCCTTCAGACAGTTTCCAATCTTATAGCTGGCCCAGTATACAATCTCTTCTTTGTTCCCTAGCAACTATCTTCTTAAAGATTATTAGAGTTCATGGGAACAGATTTTTCTTTGTTTCTGGGTGTTGTCTTTAATGTGCTATGTTCTAATTGTCCACTAGATGACAGCAAATATTTGTTTTCCAGCCCTTTCAGACAAGAAATTATTTTTATTATTTTTCTTTTTTTTATAATTTCATCAAAATTCTTTAGAATATAATCTTAGCAGTTTGTTTTAATTTCTAAATTTGATCAGATTGCAGTATTTTAAATTTAATTTCAATATGTTTCTTTCCTCCTTAAAGGTTAATTCGCCACTTCTGTCTATGGGGGAATGAGAATATAGTTCCCTCCCCTCACTTTCGGAGGTTTTCTTGCTTTGGGGACCTTTCCCAGGAAATTAGTTGCAAAATAAAGGAGAGAAGATTAAATACTCTCACCAATTCCAACCACACTGTTCACCGTTGTTCTGGCTAGTGCTCTTGGACTTCGACTGCAGATAGC